AAATGGTGGCTGGATTCTTATAGTTTAGTTTCATATACACTTCCGGGGAGGGGCGTTGCATCCCCTGTGAGTCCTTATCCTCAATGTCAAACGGCTGGGCGTTTCGGAACTGCTGCAGGGCAATGTCGCCCACCGTCTCGCCTGTACGCCAACGGGTAAGGTTCGTCAGTAGATGTTCGTCAGGAAACCGGTGATAATGCAGCTGCACTTGCTGGCCGAAAAGCCAACCCTCACGTCCACGCTTGCGACCACGGTAGGCTGGTTTCTCCTGCGGCTCCACGTGGTAGGGCGTTGCATCCTGCTTGGTGAGGAGGTTGATGTACTCGTTCCACGGCTGACGGCATATCGCAAACTGCGCCATGGCGTTTGCGTACACCGACCCTCCCACGCAATTCATCTTTCAACACAACCCTCACGCTACGTCCCCCCTACTGTGATTTCGTTTACGCCACCACCCCAGCAACAAACAAACAACTAATACAAAGGTGCAACGGTTGTTCCTCTGATTGCTTCCCTCCCTATCATAATCGATAAACACACCTTATGTCATTAATGACGAAGAGCACGCACGGTAAATGACGAGATGAATGGACGAAGTGAGAGAAATCGTATTACCAAAAACAAAAACACACACACGTGTCTCGCACTACAAATACGTCATCGCTCTTCTACTTACTTCCGTGCAAGTGGATGCATAAGGCATATATGTGGCATTACCATCAGTAATTGCTATCAAAATACATATAGTCATGCAATGCTTGTAGAAATTAACTACAGCTCCAAGAAATACGGTGAGGACGAGTCGGGGGTTGGAATTCAAACTTTTGAACAGAAGCGGGAGCCAAACGACGGGGATGAAGCGTCACACACAAAAGTGACCCACCGGCGAAGTTACAACGCAAAATGTTTTTTTTTTGTTTTGAATTCGTTGTACAAAAAAAAAAAAATTCGTGAGAACGTGCAACCCCCCCCCCCCCCCAAAGAAAAAAAAACAATACTGTTGCATCAGCTAACCAAAGGGGCGCGCCTCCCAATCAGCACCGCATTTATATCGCCCACCACAAGCAGGCAAATAAAAAAAAAAGTAATATATACAGCATTTGCGTACCACAATCTCCCACCCCCGCTTGGTGTCTTACAGCGTGACAAAATGAATATTAGAGGGAATATAAGACGCATGAATCCCCCATCCACGCAGAAAGGCAAGACGTGGAAATAAATATATTTCTTACACCACTTATAGTCCCCTATTAGTTCATTTTCCCATTATTGTCCTCAGTACCAGACGCTTCGATCTCGTCTTTCTTCGGGAAACTTTCATTTTTTCCTGTCAACTCCAGAGGCTTCTCACCATCATCATCTTTAGAAGCAGCAGCAGCTGCTGCAACAGCCTCTCTGGCGGCCGCTAGTTGCGGCAGTGCGTACTCTGCCAGCATGGCGATGAGGCCCTCCATTTGCTTCTGCACAAGCTCCTGTCCCCGTTCCATGTACTTATCGTCAATCTTTTGGAGCAGTTGTAGCGAGGAAATGGAGTCCGTGCGCATCGACGCAACATCTTCTGAGGCGGATCGAAGCAAGCGCAGTCCGATCATCATCATGCTGGAACCAAAAAAAGAGAAAACAAAAAGACCTTGAACATCCCTGAACCAGTCCACACTGAGGAGCATCATAAGTTCTGTGTAAAGTTCAAACCACGGGTCAATGGAGCCTCCAGCAGCAGCAGCAGCAGCAGCGCCACCAGTTGCACTGCTGGGGGAAACTAGCAGATTCTTCAGCCACCCCCGAGTCATCGCCTCCATCATGACACGTGACCCTATAAAGACCATGAGCACAGATGTTGCTATCAAGCATTTTAGAATAATCACAAAAGAAGTGCGTCGACGTGCAGATCGGCGCGATGCTTGACTCAACTCCCGAGTATGTAATTCCTTTATAATAAGAGGATGATCACGCATCTGCTGCAATAGGCACCGCAGCACCTTCCATTCATTCATCATCTTTACGCAGTAATATAGCAGCAGTACGATAAACACCATAACGAGCGGAACTATGAAGCAGTATAAAAAGTAATAGAAATAAGACCCACCGTAATCATTGTCCAGGGAATCCATTAGGGCAGCACGGGCGTCACCAAACAACTTTTCATCGGTGTAGCAGGAGCTGCGGTCAATTTCCTCACGAAGTCTAGCAATTTCCTCACGGATCAACGACGCTGCATCCATTTTCAGGGAGGATTGTATACTCAATGTAAAATATCCAGACCCCGTGGTTTAAATGGCCGCTTTTCTCAGTCCTTTTTTGTTTTGTTTTTGCTTTTAATTGGTTCTCTCACGGTAGTAAATTTGCCCTTCGTGCCAGCTGTACAGGCGTGTGCTGTTCGTCAAAAATAAGAGTAATAGTATGTGTATTTTTCTGTTGGTTTCTAGGACCAATAAAGATAATGGCAGCACTACTAGCAATGCGTTCGCGTGCTTCGGTGACGAAAGGAGCGTATGGAGAAGGCGCTGTTACGGTGGTAAAAAGCAAGGAAGCGAGCGAGGCAATGAAGTTAAATGTGGCCCCCACGCAAGAAAGAGATAAGAGAAGGAAAGAGGCATAAGATAAAGAAACAGGCAGACAGGGCGCGGAAATACAGAGACACATGCACAAAGAGAGAAGGAAAAAGTAAAAAGCAAAAACGACATCAGTTGTGAAGATCAAAATCGACAAGGGAAGGCGGTTTCGCCGTCATCCAACGATTTGCCTTTTTTTTTTTTTTTCCCCATGAGGCAACTGCATATCTCGTCTATTCTACTACTACTCACTCACACCATTTTTTCGTTTTTATCTGTTCGTAGGTGTATATCTTTTTTTTTTCCTCGTCTCCTTCCCCAACAGATTTGTTCCCACTCCTTTTTATTATTTTTTGTTACTTCACACTCTCACTCAGTTGAAACCCCAGTTGCTGCATTGTTAGCTGCCTCGCTTGGACCACTTAGCCGCTCAGTGAGAACCTTTGCCATGCGTGGAACTGCCGGTCCCAAAGCTTGCTGCTGCACCTCAGGCATGGCTTGCCACAACTGGGTGAATTGGGCAAGTTGCTTCCGCGCCTCTTCCTCCCGCCCGCAGTTCTGCAGTGTGATACAGTAATTTAGCGAGGTAAGTGGGTCTTGCTCTATGGAAAGCGCACGCGTGTAGGCTACACATGCGTTATCAACATCGTTCATGAGGGCGAGAGAAACCCCAAGGTGCATAAAGGCAGGGGCATAGGTCCCATAGAGGTACGTTGAGGCGGAAAGGTAGTGAAATGCTGAAGCATATTGCTTCAGATGCAGAAACACCAGCCCCATGTTGTACGCAATTCGCCACTCAAAAGGAGCCAAGGCAGCCGCCTTGCCTAAACAAGCAACAGCGGCGTGCATATTTTGTTGAGCAAAAAAACACATTCCAATGTTGCTCCATAAACGTGCAGAACGTGGCAGCTTCGCTACGGCAACACGATACTTGTTCAAGGCCACACCAAAGTCTCCGTTGCTTTGTATGATGCTTGCCGCCGCCATAATAGCTGTGGGATTGGATGAGTTTAGGGTGAGGCACTTACCGAGGTAGTGGAAGGCCTGGGGGGGATTGTCCACCTGCAGGTACAGCAGCCCCAGCGCCGTCAGAAGTTTCACATTGTCGGGAGACGTCTGCAAGAATTCCTGGTAGAGGCGAACGGCTCTGGGGTAATCCTTCCGCAGCACCAACACTTTGCCTAGCTGCAGCATGGTACAGTCATGTCGCTGGACCGTGATGGAGCGCACAAACGCCGTCTCCGCATTCTCGTAGTCTTTAAGGTAAATATAACACATACCAATACTATAATGAATGACCCAGTCATCTCCAACACCGTTTACCTCGCGTACACGCTGCGCCTCTTGAAACATGTCAATCGCCGCGTGGTGCTTCCCAAGAAGGAGAAGAGCCTGGGCAACTTGTCTCTGATTCGCTGGATTCTGCGGATTGATCAGCATGGCCGTCTGGAAGAGATTAAAGGACTCCGTCAACTCCCCAGTGCGCCTCTTAAGAAGTCCCTTGACGTACAACGCGTACTCGCAAACTCCCCCGCACTCCTGCAGCTGTGCCTCGAGAACGCTAAGGCAATCCGCGTATTCTTGGCGAACGTAGAATTGATGAATGAGCCAATTGCGACGCTCACGAATATCAAGGAGAGACTCAGCCGTCGCCATCATCGATGGGGAGGCAGCAGCGGTAGTCGTCGCTACGGTTTTGGTGGTGGTGTTGGGCAAAGGCGACACCGGCGCAACGCTGTCGTCCAACACCCCACCATTGCCCGCATTGCCTTGTGCATCGTCGCAGGGGAGTTGACGGGCGTGGGATGCGGTGCTCCCCCTTCTCCCCTCCATACGCCACACAAACACAATCAGGCTGTGTATGCGTGCGCGCACGTGCCTGCCTCCTTCCTTTCACCGCTACCACCCCCAGGCCAGCTCCGGAGGCTGCGTATGTAACTACACCCTACTGAAGAAAAAGGAAAAAAAAAAAAACCGGCTACTCAAAGAAAAGTAACACCAAAGAGGCAGCAACCGAAATGCACACTCCCATTCACAAAGCCAAAAAACAAAACATGCACTTTTTGTTCCTTTCCCTCTTGGGTTTTAGGCTTTCATCACCATTATGTTCCTATTTTCTTTTCTTTTCCAAGGGTTGAGCGCGTCTGCTAAGAAGCAGTCAGATGAGTAACAGCAGCAGGAAAAAAGAAAAAAAACACATATATATCTTCATCTTTTCTCATCACTCTCCCTCCCTTCCTACCTCCCCGTCCTTGTGTTTGAAAGGGTTCACTCACTCTCTGTGGGAAAGGCGTGCAAGAGCGCCACCCAATCCAAGTCGGAAACAGGCACCAAAGTCGAGCAGTAGGCGCTGCACAGTGCCTCGAGCACCTTCCCTCCCAACTGCTTCACTGAGGGGCGGGACGGCGTCTTGGCAACAGCGTTGAAAACGAGCAGTACGTCACGAAGAAAACTGTCTAGCGCGGCGTGCTCAACTGGTACCGCCTTGGGAGGCAACAATGCATTGGCGGCAGCTAGTGCACTGCGCGGTGAGGACCCCGTATTCCCTCCCGCTGCCGACAAGAGGCCGTAAAGAGTGCGCGCAACTAAGAAATCCCTCTCCATCTGCGTCAACCTTGAACGGAGCTCTTCCACAACCGACAAAATCAACTCCATGTTTGAGGTGCAGCAGAGACTGGTCCTGTACGCATTTGCGAGCGCCTCACATGAGACCTCTTCATCGCTCTCCGTGCAATGGGCGAGACGCATGTAAGCGTGAGAGAGAGCCCCGTTAAGAAACATCGCATATTCTAGAGAAGATTGTTTATCTGCGTCGCTCAGAAGGCCTTTGCAAGTTCGCAACCATTCCAGTGCGCTTACGAGGAACTGCACATGTGCTCGACACCATGCTACTGAGGCTTCGCTCTCTGGGACACTCGTAAAACAGCTCAGAATGGCACGCACTCGCCCAAAGCCAAAAGAATCGCTGTTGTGCCCAAACTCCTTCAGTATTGAGAAAAATTCGCGAGACAATTCAGATGCCGCCTCTGAGCAACGGAAAGGTACAATTGCCTGCTGAAAAGCCTCAAGAAGCATGGCTTGCGTCGCTGCCTCATCGCGATGTCGGACCTTGCGTTGCAGCGTCGCTTTGAACGTCTGGAGCCCACTGTACGGGTCGCCATCTTGGCAGGCCTTCACCAACACATCGACCGCCATTAACTGAGAAGACATGAGGAATAAAAAAAACCCTTCTAAGCACGCAGTGATTTTAGGCTTGTATTGGGTACGAGCAAACATGCGTGTGGAAAAAAAAAAGCAAGGCACAAGCAAGCAGTGAGTGTCACACGTCTATTTCGTTCCCTGGGCATTATATTGACTGAGGAGGATTGCAGACACACACGCACACTCCGGCCTATCAACAGGCACCACAAAATAAAAAGAAATGTAACTAATTGGTTCAATGAAATTTGGCGTTCTTGCGTTTATTACTCTCTCTGTTAATGTGGGGAATATTAGGCGGGGGGGGGGGGGAGCACAAGCGGTTTGGTAGTGAAGCTTCAGAAAGTTACAATTTTGCGCAATATTTACAGTAGTGAATCGAATGGGGTATGTTTATTTAATTGGAGATGTCCTCCACACAAAACAACCCGTATGGTTTCCCCCTCACACCCACCAAAAGCTCATAGAGAGAAAAAAAGAAAATAAAGAAGCAACGAAACAGCTAGATAGATGGGAAAATAGAAATCTTATGTTTGCTGAATCTTGCTAAAAAAAAAAAAAAGCACGGCACACGGACTGCCACTCTCACAATCCCAGTTATTTTTCCCTCTTCCCCACCACCACCAGTAAACTGTCATCGTTCAATACTGCCGTGCGAACACCGTGAATTCCTTCAATTGATAGAGCACCGACGTTCGCTCAACCCCGCTTAAGCCCTCGTTGTTTTCCTCACACCTACCTGAAGTGGAGATGCCTTTATGCAAGTTATTTGCCTCATTAATTTATTTGTCGCTTGTCGCCGTTATAAGCGCCACCTTCACGCACATCTACGTCTCCTCACCGCCCCCAACGGTTTGATTGAGTGAGCCCGTCGTGCTCAGCAATCGTCCCTTCCCCCACCAATAATAATAATCTATCTATCCCCACGTTCCCCCGCCTACAGCTTGCAGGCGTTTTGCAACACGTTCTTCCCCACGAACGAGCGCAGCTCCGACTTGCAGACGTCCAGGGATAGGTTCACAAGGTGACAGTGAAAAAACTCCGGATGCGCCGTACACCACTTCATCCATTTCTCACTCGCACAAAGACGTCGCCGCAACGAAGCCTCGGATTCCGAGCCACGCAGACGCAGACGCTCTTTAAGCACATCCAAACTGGGTAGCTTCACCAGTACAACTTGAACCCGCAGTGGTGCTGTCAGATGACTGTTGCCATCGTTGTCAATATTGACGCAGTACTTTTTGATGTTGATGGCTCCTGTGATGTCCGTGTCCAGGACCGCAACTTTATTCGCAGCAAGAATGCCGTGGAGCTCTCTCTTTGAGGTACCATAGTAATCAGCGTCATCCTCTGCGAGCAACATGCCGCCGTTTCTAATACCACCGCAGCCGCTGGCGTTCGCCTTGTCTTTGCTCCCACACGAACTAAAGACCTTGTTGTACTCCACAAACTCGCCACGATGAATCATATGTTTGAATGCATCCTTCGACACAAAGTGGTAATGCTTTCCATCAACCTCGTCCTTCCGCGGCTTGCGTGTTGTGTGACTTGTACAGAAGCTAAATTGTTGTGGCCATGTTTGTAGTAAATGCGCAATCAGCGTCGATTTTCCTCCCCCACTGGGGCCCACAAAGATTAAAAGGTCCGCCAGCCGTTGCATGCGGCAAAGACACAGCAAAATCCAGGGGAATATCCAAAAAAGAAAAATCCCAAGCAGTAATGTTTCAAGGCAGCAAAGAGGCAGATAAAGAGAGAGAGAGAGAAAGAAAAAAATACACAATAAGAAACAGAAACCAAAACAAAGATAAATATAACAATATGCGACGGAGTCCACTACGGAAAAGGAGAGATAAACGGCGAGGTGATCCCATGCGTTTTCCTCAGCCCTTTTCCTTCCTTCGTTCTTTGGTGCGGTAAGCCTTCAATAGCAACAACAAGAGACACACACAAGGAGGGAGCAGTCTGTATTGCCATGCACTCACATGAAGCAAATAACGATGTATGTGAAAGGATGAGCTACCTGTAACGTCGTACCCCCCCCCCCTTTTTTTTTATTTAATCTTTTTGTCTTCTCATCCTACTTCTTGTTGCTGTTGTTTTGATTTTACTCAAGCCCCTGCTTTCTTTCCTTCTCCTTTAGTCGGCTCTTAATTTCACACTCTCATCAGCTGCTCCCAGCTATCTTGTTTTCGATTATTCTTTGTTGTCGATGTTGCTGTTGCCGTTCCTGCGCTTAAACCTTCTTTACAACCTGCACCACGTCTTCATCCTCCAGTAGGTGATCCTTCCCAACACGCTGCGGCTGATGCTTCACACTCGAACCCCACACCCAGGCGTGCTTGAAGCTCTTCATCATTAGACGGTGCAGACGCAGGCAGAACCGCTCTACTGTCGGCGGCGGCAACTTCTTCAAAATCACTGGTTCGTCGTAGTCGGGCATCTGACCCTTTGGCTTCGTGTAGATGCGAATAAAGTGGAGGTGGTCCCAGACACACTCCAAAAGACCATCAAGGTTCCACCCATGATGGGCACTGATGGGGCAGTTGTGTGGAAGCCGGGCGACAATGTCAAGCTCCTCTATGCTGATCTGGTCAATCTTATTCAACACATAAACGCAGGGAATGTAGATGCGATTGCCTTCAATAACGTCAATCAAGTCGTCCGCGCTGTAGTCCCCACGAAGCATTACATCAGCGTTACTCATGCGATACTCCGTCAGAATGGCTTTAATTGTTTCATGATCCAACTGCGTCAAGGGGCACGTGGATGCGATGCTAATTCCGCCCCGATCCTTCTTGCGAATATCAATATTAGGCGGCTGCTTATTCAAACGAATACCAAACCCATCCAACTCACGTTCAATGATGAGTTTATGTTGTAGCGGCTTGGCAATATCAAGTACAATTAGAATGAGAGAGCAGGTGCGTGCCACTGCAATAACCTGCCGACCCCTACCTTTTCCATCTTTTGCGCCCTCAATGATACCAGGCAGGTCGAGCATCTGCAACTTCGCCCCACGGTACTTTACAACGCCCGGCACGCACGTGAGCGTCGTGAACTCGTACGCCGCCACTTCAGAGTGCGTCGACGTGAGCTTCGTCAAAAGAGTTGACTTCCCCACTGATGGAAAACCAATAAATCCAATCCTGGCATCACCAGTTTTCTGCACATCAAAACCCTCACCTTTTCCGCCGCCTTTCTTGGACTCCGAGGCAATAAGATCCCGCTTTAGCTGCGCCAGACGAGCCTTAAGCTGGCACAGGTGCGCCATCGTCGCCTTGTTCTTTTGCGTGCGGGCTATCTCCGCCTCGATGTCATTAATCTTCTGCAGATTAGACATGATAAGGACGTGTATATATATATATATATATATATATATGGGTGGGTGGACGTTTCAAGTGTAAATAATTTAGTCTCCTTCTCGCTGGTTACACTCACACTCACGTGTGTGTGTGTGTGTGTGTGTGTGTGTGTGTGTGACTATGCGTAGACACGTGAACGAATGTGGCTTGTGCTCAAGCGCAACAGAGGCGCACCTCTAGCAAAAGACATCATCGGCGTCAGAAGAGAGGCAGACACAGCCAGAGAACAAGTGGGGAAAAAAGAAATAAAATGACATCAGCAGACGACAGCGGTGCCTCCCTCACTGCTGTAGCCACAAGTCCGACAACGGAATGACGAGGACGAAGTGTGAGTAAACCCACAGCAGCAGACGCAAAGGCAAACACACAGCAATCAAAAATGCAACCGCCACACACAGAAATAAATAAACACAAATAATAAAAAGAGGATAAACAAATTCACCTACAACGCCTCGCCCACATTTAAAGATGCGCCAGAGAATGGGTGTCTTGCGTTCGCGGTAAGAAAAGAAACAAACCCCGTTTGGCAGAGTTCTCAAGCCTCAGTCTTCTTCTTGTTCCTGTTTCCTCACAACAGGCGTGGCTGTACCCATTGCTGGAGAGGTGACAAAAGGAGGAAGAGGCAAATAGAGAAAAACTCATAATTTGACATAAACGGCGGATTGCACCATCTCCAAAGTACGAATAAGCGAGGACAACGCGGAGGTGCTGGTGGTTTTGCGGGTCGCGCTCCGCGGTGACACCTGCTCCACAAGGTCGTCGTCCTGCGAGAGGAACGGTGACTCCGCTTCCTCAGCGGCGTTGTCCCGCACAGCAGTGAGATGCTCCACAAAAATCTCTGTTAGTCCTGCAAAGGAGCGTAGACGACGACGTACTTGATCTCGCACAGAACGCCGCCGCGCCTCCACTCGCCGCGCCACATCATCCTCTAGACACTGCTGCCGCCGCTCTTTCAAGCTTCCACAAGAATTGCGCTGAAAGTTAGGCGAGACGTCAGAGGGCGATGAAGTGGATGCCAATGACTGTGATGGCTTCCTTCGAATTCTGGGACCATGGGCTGCACTGCCACCGCCGCCGCTCACTTCAGTTTCTCCTCCAGGTGCCCTCGTCCTCTTCTTGCCCTTAGTTCTCTTGCTGCCAAAATCACTGGAAAGGGCGGTGGTGATACTACTTGCAGTGTGGGTTGACGCCGTATGTGTTGCTTTGCTGTCCCTACCATCAATAGAAACGGAACAAGCCATGGCTGCATCCGTCGCATTCTCCTCGCTGGCACGCAACAGGCACTGCTCCACCTCCTCCAGCTGCCGCACCATCCCATATACCTGACGCCGGGCACGAGCGAAGGCGGGGGTAAGCATTGCGGCAAAGCGGCACTTCTCGAGAAATGCCGCATGATCCGTCGTGAAACGTTCCAGCTGGCAATACGAATAGAGAACACCGGATTCAAAGCGCAGCGTGTGACGATACTCACGCACAAAGCCGGCAATAAGAAACCACATGTATTGTGCCACGGCACTCAGTACGGTGCGAGAGATGTTGCAAAAGAAAAAGGCTTCGGGCACGCCTGACTTAATTCCAACACGCCACACACGCGTCACAAGTTGCGTCACAGAGGTCCAGAAAAGTAACGTGCTGAATAAATCGCCGTACACAGCAACAGCATTTTTGGGCAAAAGCCAAAACCCCTCACATGGGGTGCTGTAGATCATGGTTAGTTGGGAGATGAAATCAAACGGATTATCTGGAAGTGCAATCGCCTCTTCTCTCACTTGGCCCTTTTCCGCGTCATCTTTGTGTTCCTCCTGCCCCGCTTCTTCCACCATTTGCGTCGTGACAGGGTCAAACGTACGACTTCGAAAGGCCGTGTCCTGAAACAAAATACTTCCACCAGCACCACTGCCTTCTTCCTCTTCGTTTGCTACCGAAAAGACGTCAATCCCCACGTTAGCGTCATTTTGAACCGTCAGTGCAAGTTGCACTTGCAGTGTGTCACGCCCATGCAATACGCATGATTCCCATTCATCCACAAATGCCGCGTTGAGCATGGCCATGAAAGCTGAAGCAGAAAAATTGTTCTCCTCGATTGCCGACTTTGTGAGGCGTTGCCACAGTCCCGTCATACGATCCGCTACACGGCCGCTCTGCATAAGGCAGACATCCAGAAACTGCTGCGTCAGGCGATAAAGTGTGCCATAGGGACCCAAAAGCATAACCTGTAGTGCCTTGTGCGTCAAATAACTTGCGGTGTAGCTGCTCAGTGTGAGATAGTAGGAAGAACAATGTAGCAGACGCTTTGCGTGCTCCTCTGTCAGCGTATGTGGGGCCTGTAAAGCCTCGGTTAATGTGAGGGATATACCTTGAGGACCAAAGAGGTTTCCTTCATCGGCAGTCGGATTTGTCCACCAGTGTTCCCTGATACACTCGTTATTATCAGTGGTCCTGTCACCGTTACTGTCCTCGTCCTGAAGCAGTTTAATAGCCGCTTCTCTGCATGTCTGCTGATATACCTCACTCGACACAACGTAGCCCTGGATACGGGATTCCGCTGCCTCAAACTGGTCAAGCATGGCTTCCCTAGTGCCTGCGTCACTTACTTGAGGCCCAGCCCGCTTCATCAGGTAATCCTCGTCGTTGATGTGGGCCACAGCGTACATTTCCGAGGTGGGCGCCTCTTCCCGTGGCTGTTCCTCCTTCCAAGGAAAACTTTTTTGCCCCGAGAACAACGAGAGCGACAAGGTACTCATCCACATAGAGCTACTCCCACGACGAAAGGGCGGAACGGTGGTTCGAGGCACTGCAACTGTCAATGTTTCACAGGGTGTCTCTTCCTTATTGAGGAACACTGGCGCAGCGAATGACAGAGTGGCCTTCCCTTGGGTGGTTGTCACGCTTCTCTCGGCAGCCCTTGTCGGGGACGTTAGCTTGGTGAGTGGTGCAACAAACCTCCCTATGGGCGTCTGCCGACCATCGTCTTTAGCCTCTTCCTCTTCTTGCCTCTCCGTCGTGGAAGGTTGACCCAAAACGCGGGCGTACAACTCCAGCAACTCGTCAACCGATCTCGACAGCACAGCTGCCCTCTCCATGTTTAAGGAAAGACGCTGCGCCTTCCACTGCTGCAACTTTCGCCGCGAATTGCGCTGCAATATTTTAATCTCGTACGCTAAGCGAAGTGCCGCGCGCTCCTTCGTCTTGGCTGCCGCCTCCTCTCGACTCATGGTGTTGGCACACTGAGTCAACTCCTCACAAACAGTGTCGTGCCACGCTGTTGTAGCTTTTGAAAGGCGCGACAAGCTTGTCATAAGGGATTTTGGTTTTCCCCCAACAAGTCCCCCCCCACCGGTGCAGGCGCTTCTCTTCACATCATCTCCCACCACAGAGTTTATGGGAAACACATGGACCAGCCCGATGGGTTCAAACGTGGCGTCATTCTTCGATTCGCTTTCCATCTCGCTCCCCACCGAGAGCAGCACATTGTTGCACGCACCGTAAAAGGCCTTCCAATGCGAGAGTGATCCTTGCTGCGTCAGGAGACTCACCTCAGGCATTTCTACAAACATCAAAGATGAACGGTAACCCAGCAGCGACTCCATAAAATCCCGTAAAAGCCAATTGATGTCGCTGACATCATTCATCTGCTCCTGGTGAAGAGCAGCGGCGTCAACATCCTCGGCTTGGCTCCTCAAGCGCGCTTGCTCGTTTGTGGCGCAGAGAATAACGTGGCGTGCGGCGGCGCGAAGTACACGAAGACTCACCCCTGCGTGAAGAATCCGCTCCGCCGTTTCGGATGAGATGAATCCCGGCAGACGCTGAGCGGAGGTGTCCACGAGAAAACCACACGCTGTGGTGCCATGCGAGGGCAGCACAAAAAACTCATCGTATGGGTCCTTCAGCTCACCAGCACAGAGCCACGCCCCCATCATGCGATGCAGCGGACGCAACACAGCAAGAAACAACTCACCGATAATATCTAGTCTTCTCACAGGAGAATCTGTTACACCAGCAACGGTCAAGCGTTGATCACGCCATTGATTGTTGACAGTTCTCTGTGCGTAATATCTGTACAGCGAAGTTAGAAGCGTGGCGGAGGACAGTTCTCTTAACACTTGAGACGCCTCCCAGTCCGTCCCTGCATGCACGAAAAGAACATCACTCAGTGCCGTGATATCCTCTGCAATATGCCGGAGTCTCTTCTGGGCCACAAGCAGTTCCCTGAACGACACAGAGTGTGGACCCCCAGCACGATCGCCCATCTCTGCTACAAGGCGTTGCAGCGACAACAGAAGCCACCGCAGTGCCTCAATGGCACTTTTCCCATACTGTCCCAGCGCTGCCCGCCACTCGGGTCGCTCTGACACGTCGCACAGCTGCCGCAACCGCAAAAAAAGAGTTCCACTTTGACAACTCCACTGCAACATGGCGATGATTCCCCTCACGCACTGCGTATCCTTCGTCTCTACTCCTCCTTGTTCATCAAGGGCTGCCCGGTTCACCCCCTTTCCCAGCATCGCTTCACCGTTGTCTTTGCCTGCCGCCGCACCAAGAAACTCCGGACTGATGCCAATGCTTAGAGGGAATGCGGACGAAGAACTCTCTGCTGTCTCTCCAAACTGCGAAAAAGACAGCTTGCTGGAAAAAGACGTCGTTCCCAGCGGTGAGGATGCCCTCCCACCACTCTCCAGCCGCAGAAGTAGGTACGGATCCTGTTGGCCAACGATCCCGCGATGAAGGGCAACAAAAAGAAGGGAACAAAACGGGGAGTTCTCCGGATATTCCTCCCTGAAGATGGAACAAAATGACTTCGCGGTTTTGCCTCCCAATTGAAGCGGCGCATACACAACAGAGGGATCGCGCTGCGCCGCGTGAGGTGACGAATACGGTCCCCTTTCGCTCTCCAGATTGTTCAAACGTTTTCTAGTGAATAGGCATCGCACATCCTCCTTCTCTTCCGTGTGCCAGTAATGGGGGTCATCACACGCAGCATCCGTGTCTGAAGTGTTAGTAATAAATAAATATCTTTCAGCCTTATTTGTGGCGCCCAACAATTTAGTCGTAGCCGCACCAGCAGGGCCGGTATGATAGGTCCTAAGCTCCGGTACATGGTACGACATGTACGGCTCGAATGCGAAGCGACTATACCTAGTATAATCCACCCCGAGTGCGGCTTCCACCACAGGATCAGCGTCGCAGGACCACCGCATTGTTTTCTGAAGTGCTGAAGACCGCTCCATCATTTCTGTGATAGAAGGTGACAACCAACAACGTGGAATTACAGGAGGTTTCTGCCAGTTTGGGGAGGCGGCAATACTAGTGCGGAGGATAATGTAGAGCATCAAAGTGGCCTCGGACACCTCTGCCGAAACCGTCACCCCTTGGGAGGCTTCCTCCGACTCAATATCAGGAACGACAGCGCTGCAAAGAAGCCCCAGCAACGCCGCATGAGTTTCCGTGACTTGCCTTATATTCTGCTTGGCATTTTGAAAGAGCTGACGCATTTGGTGACGGAACACGACGGATGACGTGGAGAACACAGGTTTCGTCCTTGATGCAGTAGAGGAATCAAAAAAGGTATTGAGAACCTCACGTCGCCGCTTCCTCCGCACCACCGTCACTTCTCTGGGACAATAGGTGGCAGCAGATCTCCAATTGTCGTCTGGTTCCACACCTATCGCCCTGTGGTCCCCATGACGATACTTCAGAGAAGAGTTAACTGCCAGGGAGCTCGACAACTCCACCAGCAGCTCCACCAACGACAAGGCACCATTCCCGTCGTCTACGGCAGCTCGACTAACAGAGGTGGCTGCACTTGCAGCCAGAACCACTACTTCTGACATTCTTGAGCCCACAGATCATTATCATGGTGGTTACGTGCCAGCCACAAAGTAAAGATGCATGGGCACGTGACAGAGGCAAAGGCAAAGTATAAAAGAAATAAAAAAGGCAACAACAACAAATTGTACCAAAAACGCCAATATATATATATATATATATATATATCAAACAAACCCATTGGTGCATCTCCATCCCCCCTCCCCCCTCTCTCTCACACACACACGCATACATCAGTATATATATATATATACTCCTTTTTTAACAGTCAACGTGCGTTCACATCTTCACGAAGTTTTGCACTTTTGTCTTTGTATTCTCTGGGTCAGAACTTGTGGAAGTGGGGTTCATTCAGAAGCATTTTTGGTTTGGTTTGGTCCGTGTTGTCCCCTACTGGACCCAAACCCCCGCTCATGGGTGGGTGGATAGCAAGTTGAGAAACATCTCACTGTTCAGTACAGTCGTTCCACCAATGGAGGCACGCACTCCCCCCTGGGGAAGTTGGTTGGCTGCGGATCCCGTAAACGCCGTACCCGCATTGATTGCATTCACTAAAGCGGCCTCCTCATACGTAAACCCGCCACATATGAACGCGGTTACATCCTTTGGTCGAACATTCATCTGTTTCTGCGGCTGAGAACTGTTTGCTACGGCTGTGGGGGGTGGTGTCAGGTACGGGTACAGATCAACAGAAAGTCGACCACTAAAAAGCTGCAGCAGAGTTCGTTTCAACACCGGTTCATGCTGAGTATAGATGTTCCCCACATCTACAAATGTTTTGACAATAGACGCCATCACACCAGTTTCGCCAAACAACTCGTCGGTGGGACGTTCACCGGAGTACTGCGTAGTTTCCGAAGGTAACTCGCCAGGTGTGCATCAATTCCGTCCAAGAGAGTGGCCACATGAGAAGGCTGGTTGGGTTTTTCGTACCGTAAGTGATAGATAAGGCAAAGACGGAAAATGTCCCGGGCGTCTACAGCGCCGCTATGTTGTTTCGCTGCGAAGGCCTGCAGCCTGTTCCAGTGATCATTTGCATTGGTAGAGGCAATCATGTCTTGCTCTAGCAGAGATACGGCCAACAAATCTCGTTTTTTGATAATAGAGGAGAGATGCGACACCACCGTGGCATGCTTTGTCACAGAGCCTGTCAAACTCTTGGTTTGCGGCAGCTTCTGCATAAACTCCTTGATCTCATCCATTGTTGCCGTGGATCGATCAATATTCAAGGTTGCCTTACACGTGTCCACGTACGCCTTGACATTGCTGCAAAGCTCGCCCCAGTTCGCAAACATGTTTGCCGCAAAGAAAGGGTCATCTTGCTGTGAGAAGACATACTCCTCCTTCACCGCCCCGTCTGAAAACTGAAGACGATTATGGTGTAGGCCAATGTGTTCATGCAACATGGCCTGATAAGTCCACGGCGTCAGCAGTGGCGTAAGTGCGTCGCTGCGGCGATCGAGAATGAGCAGCAAACCGTCCTTGTTCTTGTAGTTGTACAATTCGGCGTTTTTGTTAAGAATATCCCCCAGTTCTACCGCCACACGACGGGCAAACGCGCTGTTCTGTTCAAACCGGATATACGGCCTCCGCCGCCACGCCACAAAGGTTGCAGCGATGCTTTCCGCGATGCGATGCACGGCGACTGCACTTAAGAAAGCTGGAAGCAAGACCTTTGGCGACACAACAGAAACAAAGGCGTCAGCGTTGTGGGCCTCAAAGTCACAGAAGACCTCACTGACGCGATTCACTAGATTATCCACGTCAGCGCGGGCGAGGCTGTCCAGCAGCTCCGGACTTGCCGCGTTACTGAAGTGGATGGCGTAACTTCCGTACTTGGCGGCCTGCAGTTCCTCAGCAACGGCGGCCACACTTGACGTTTGCGGTCGGATAAAAACAATACAATGCATGCCCTTCATTACCCGTCGCTGGCGATGCTCGTCGACGCGGCAAACGAGGAAGACCCTTTTCTTAAGCAGCAGCGTCTGTGAGCAGGCCATGGAAATAATGTTGAGTGTGACCTCGTCTACGAGAAGGACCTTCATGGCGTTGTCTTCTGGAAGCATGTGGTCCACATATTCCGAGACAATGCTGAAGAAATTGGGGACAGTAGCATTCGACATTCTACTCCGCGACTCTACTACCTTGCCACCCCTCCTCTTTGCACGCAAATTACTACTGACAAAGGCTATGAGCCTCTTTTCTTCTTATTGTTGTTGTTTATGTGTGTCTTCCCCTTCTTGTTGTTGGTGACGGTAACAGGGCCACCTCAACTGACCCGCTCAACAACGGGCGCCGCAGTCCACAACAGGAATTTAAAAGCAAAATAAAATGAGACGAGAGAAACGACAGCAAATAGCAGCTAACACCCAAGCAGCAGGGAAAGAAGCAATGCCACCAAGAAATGAAATGATGTCAGCACGCCTCGTTGCATCACAAATGCCGTGTTTACATGTGTCACTCAGTGCGGCTCACCTCATGTTGTGTTCCCGTCACCTATCCCTCTTGAGTTTGAGCGATCTCTATGATATATATACCATATATATTTGTACACTCTTATCTATTGCTCTATCATGTATCTATTTCTCTCACGCTATCTATAGCTTTCTATGACATCGTCCGTGAAGACTAACACACAGACACACATTTACTCACTCACTCGCTACTCCTCAAAGATACTTCCGCACAGTTGGCTTACCAAGACACGAGGAACAGTTGGTTCCAGTGCATCACAAGCGAACTTTACGTCCTCGATACGAGAGCGTTTCTGTCGTCGAAGAGGGGAAAAGGAGACGCACCTTTTACCTGCAGCCTCATGTGCAGAGCCGCAGCTATTCTCATCTTCTTCCCCATTCCTTATCGTCACTACTGCTGCTGCTGATAGTGGCGGCGTTGGTGTCGGTGTGGTGGTGGCAGATGACTGCAGCAGAGCGCCACGTTTCCCACTAGAGATGCATTCCTGTAACCATGCGATATGGACGCGCGGGATCGCCCACTCCCACGCACACCGCCACTTGAGGCTCCTCTCCGCCTTCTCCATGGCGTTCCCCGCCGTTCGTCCCCACTCACCATAAAGAAGAATGTCCGTCGCGTTGGTCAGGTCCGGGGAGTAGGTCCCGCCGAAGAACTGGATCGCCGCCACAACACGCTCCTTTGTGTCACCCGAAAGCATTGTCGTCGTAAACCGGAGCGACTCAAAAAGCGCGGGGTCGTGCTCCGCGTGCGGATGCTTCATAGGCAACAGGCGCCCGGCTGCCACGCTCGCCCGCACCCAACTGGAGCGCAAGATCGGAATGCGCAGGCCCCGCAGTTGAGCCGCACAGTCGAGTTTCGCCGCTCCCCCCCGTACCACCAGGCCGAGGGTGACGGACGCCTCAAGAGATGCCACCACATGACCACCGCATGCAGCGATCAGCAACCGCACATCCTGCGGCACATCAGGCGCGGCAACAAACACGTGGCCACGCAACATGACGCTCGCACACACCCCTCCCTCCCCACGTCCCACAACAAAAAAAAAGAGCTACAAAATCAATTCTCCGCGGCGTCTATTCCTCGCTTATTGTTGATCCTTCCCCTCCAGAAGCAATTGCCCTTACGAACACCAAAGCAAAAAAAAAAAAATCACATTCGAAAAGAAGAGCGCAAAGAATAACCGCAGACACCAAAAAAATACACACTGTCCTTTTGTTTTTCTTTGTTTCCCTGCGTGTATGTGCGTGCGGCGCAGCTGAAAAAAAAAAACGTTCAATGCAAAGCATCAACGCCCCATACTGCAGACGGAAGAAAAAGGAATAAAACACGACTTCTATAATAATGCGTCCAATTTACTTCGACCTTGTCCTTCTCTCCTTCTTCCACCGTTTTTTTTTTTGTTTCCTCCTCAACCTTCTTAAAAAAAAAAAAAGAGATCTGAATCCACGCTTGCACGAGTCACCTTTTACGTTATTACCATTTCTTTTTACATTCGCCCCGCAGTGGAAGATGACTGGGTCTCCTTTTATTAATTTCTAATGTTTTGCTCTGCTGCCCACCGACCCTTCCCACACGCGGGCGCACGCACGGGGCAGGAGCGAGGGGGCCATAAAAAAGAAGGCCTGCATCCCGTGTTTCCGGCGCGTTTCCTTGTCTCGTTTCCTCTGTTTCCGTGGTGCATGCAGTGGCAAACGGCACACAGTTCACTCATTTTTTTTTTTATCTCTCACACGTTAAAAAGAAACAAAACGGGCAAAAAAAAAACAAAAAAAAAGATAGCACCGAGCACACGCAAGAAATGACCTGGGATAGACCTGCAGACCTATACACTAAAAAGGAATGTTGGGCGAGGGACAAACACAAACATACTGGGAAAAAAACTGACAGACTGTGATAGATAATTGCCCCTTTCTGCATCTCCTGGAGGGGAGAGCGGCTGCTTGGGCCTTCTTACCACTGTCCAGAGGTTTCTCTCTTTCTCCTCCGTTCTCTAACTTTAATTGAATGCTGCACCCCCCCCCCCCCTCAGGATTTCCCCCGTCCCCAAAGGTGCATTCCACTCCGTTGCTGGTTGAGTGTGGCATGGAGACGTCACCCAAATTGGCCCCACCACCAAAAGCAAAGACAGTGAAATAAAATAAACCGTATCCAAAATGAAGCAAAACAACAACAACAGCCAAAACAACAACCAAAACGGCGTTCCACACGTCGTTGTCTCACCCCATCGTGAAACGCACAGTGCGGGACTGTTTTATTAATACTTTCTCTATTATTGTTTTTGCTGTTGTTTTGCTCGTTGTTGCTTTTTTCCCCCCGCCCAAACCTCTTCGTTCCTTCCTCTCCTAGGGAGACGGCTTCCCGCCGTACCACTTGTGGTGAATGACAGTCGTTCGGACAGTGTTTGGTTGCATTTTCATGACTACACAAATCAACAAATGCATTCATTCTGCTCTTCCCTCGTGAGGCAAAAAGAACGGGCCCCAAACCAAGCACCATCCTACGCCCCGGAATCCTCATGTATTTTCTCACACTACCGGAGAAGGGGCATTGTTGTTCGTGGCCCCCTGGTCTGCGTAGTGCAGGGCAGCGTAGAGTTCTGGCGCGGAGTGCTGCAGCCCCTCCGGCACTTCCGCAAAACAGACAAAGATTGTCGTCACAGCACTCTCAACAGCTGAAAAGAAGAGGACGTGCACAATCATCGAACCCAAAAAGGCAATTGCCCCAACAGCGGTGGAGAGATATGCCAGTCCAACCACAACGCCAATCAGCGCCGAGACACCAAGCGAAAGAAGATTCAATGTGGATCCAACGAGAGCATCATTAAAGTAAGCGGCGAAGAAGCACTGTTTGCATAGCTGCCAGGTTCGCTTGGCGGCCTCAATGTAACCACACCCGTACACAGCAACGTGCACAAAGGCGTACAAATTAAAGTATTCCAGCATCGACTCCAGGCAAGACAAGATACAGACTGTGATGCAACGAATAAACTCATTTTCGTTATCGGTTGCGCTTTCCGCAAGCCACCGTAACAGGCGTACGATGGCAACCATAAGGGACCCAAAGCAAATAGAACCCAAACTGGTTGTTGTGGCACGTTTAAAGGAAGCCAGTGTTGGATTCTGTGGCATTCGTCCTTCTCCAGCAAAGTACCAAGTAGCTGTCACACCGGATGTTGTGACGTGTATGATATTGGCCACCACCTGTGAAACCCAAAAGAGGAGCAGCATGCAGAACGTAAACAAAAGACTGTCCCCTGTATTATTATATCCAAAATTCATTCGGTCCACAGAGGGAAAGCACATGGCAAACCAAAACACCATATACAAAAGAGACAACGCACTCATGATGAACGAAAAGAAAAACACGGCCTTGTACTTTGTCAGAACGTCTGATGCAGCTTTAAGAAGTTCCGCAGAGAACATAATACGGTCTCGCACCAAGTATAGCCAAACGGCTTGGAAGATGCAAACAATAACAAGAACAACACCGACACCAACAATGCCCGAGATAAAGGACACAACTGCACCAACCAAAGTAAGCACAGCCGTCAGTACGTTCGCAATAAATATGAGTTGCCTTGGAAACATACCTAAAAGCACCAACGAACAGCAAGCCCCAATAACGGAAACGGCAAAGATAACAAACAACAGTACGAACGCAGAGAAGTTCACATTGTCATGGTCTATGTTGATGGCACCGTGGTGGGTTGTATTTAAGGGAATAGGCACATACGTGGTCATGTTCACTGCTCCCCATACCACAGACAGGATAAGCACAATAACAAAGAGAACGCCAGCCCATAGGTCTTGATATCCCTGCACCACAAATCGACTCAGTCGCGGATTCCCTGGCGTCTCATCGGGATAGAGTGGAACCCCATTCACTGCACTTCCCTGAAAGTTCCCCCCTGGCTGGTTGTAAATTTCAGCCTGGGGCAGCATGTCCAGATTGTAGGCCTTGTACTTTGAGGACTTTAAGTCTTGATCCATTTCGCAATATCCACCTTTAATTGTCTTCCTTGTTTCAATGCACGTGTGCTTGTATGATGCTTCCTCTCCGGTTTCCTTCTTGAATTCGACTACACTTCCACCTAATTATATTTGGGTGGTAGCACTGTTTTTTTTTCTTTTTTTTTTCACTTCTTCCTTTTTGTGTTGTTTTAAAGTTGGTTTCTTCGTCCTACACTTGTGCGTGTGCGGTAGAGATATATAAAAGTAGATATGGCTAGGTTTGAGGCATGGAAGAGCATAAATAAAAAATGGAGAAAAAAGTGTGCGTGTGTGAAATGAAGAAAAACAACAACAACAACAAGAACGTGAAACTGAAATAATAACGGTTGTTAAAGGGTGGAGCGGAAACAACTTACGTCGGGCTTGTTCATCATTCAGGTGCGGCTGAAGCAAGTTGATCCTGCCCTGTTAACCGCCGCTCTGGCACCGCTCCACTCTCTCAATTGGGAACAAATACATAGTCCCCCACCCCCGTTTCTTTTTTTTTTTCGTTTTAACCTTCCACTTACCATCCAGTTCACTGCACCATTTTCTGCCTCCCTTGCCCCGCGGCTTTACTCAACTCCCAATGTCTTCACACCACATCAGCCCTTCTGCCTCGTCGACGGGATCGTCCTGAGCAGACGCCTCCGCCGCCGTTCCCTCTTTTCGTTTTCGCTTCGAATGCCGTTCGGGGGCCGGCCGCTTATCCACACCATTCGTCATCTCCGTGCCCGTCGGCCTCGCGAGCGGCACACTGGTGGGGTAAATAAGACCCGCCGCTCGCCGCCGCCTCCGCACTGAGGCACAAAACGCCATCGACTCGCCGTAATAATTTGCCAGTGGACAACCTAAGAGAACACCAATAAGACTACATATATCCTTCAACGAGCGAGTTGCCAACAGTGCAACATCAACACCCGAAGTAGGCCCCGCTACATCAGTCTTACGTGAAAGTGAAGAAGCCAGCGTGACAAGGTTGTGCTGCAAAGCCTCAACATCCCCCCCGTAGGAGCAGGAAAATGGTAGCTGCATAGGTGAAAGAACATGTCTGGCAATGCCGCCAAATTGTTGCTGCAACCGTGCAAGTCCACGTGTGGTAGATGACGACGGCAGCCAGGCGTAATAAAAAGCCACCACACACGTGCGGCCTTTCGCCATGTGCTTCGCCCGCAAAGGGCTGAACACCGCGGGATTAACTAGCTGACAACTGTTCTCGCCAAGGCAGCGCGTCACATCTAGAAGAAGGCTTTGATGAGTCAACAGAAAACTCGTAAGCATTGGTGGTTGACTCCGCTCGTCTCCCCACAGCAGCGCCACTTCGTGCAGCGAAAGAGACAGAGCATCCGCCTGACGCAACGGTGATCGATGTCGGTCCATCTGCCAGCTTGCTAGTAAAGACAGCTCTGTGTTATCACGTGGCACTACAGCCACCACAACCCACAAGTCCATCGTGATCCCGAGATCGCGTTGCAGCCATGTTCTAAGTTTTACGCGATCCGCGCAAGCCTGACGCAAGCGATCCTCCGCAGCAGTTTTCGCCAGCTTCGGCGACTGCGCCCCCGAGGATGAAGAACCTGCAAAGGCCAAATCAACAGAAACAAGAATTGCAGTCACTGCGGGTATCGTGGTGGAAATACCGGCAAACGCCAAAAGCGCCACTTTTAACCGCATCAACCGGACAGACGCATCGGGGATGTCTTCATACACAACAGATTCCATGAAAACACAATCGGACGCACACCCTAAAACAAAAAGAAAAAAAGGTATGTGCCTTACTTTCCCCTAATAAAATATATGAAGTATGAAACAAAGGGCAGTCTTTTCACTTTTCATTCTTTATAGTACAAAGAAAAAATAAAACTTACCGGGATCGCTCCACAAACCTACAGCTATTCCGACGCAAACCATCATCACTCATAACCATTGAAACGCCGAGGGGGAAATGGAGCAGCTGAAAAAGCCTTTTGCCCCCCACCCCCTGCGCGCGGCGGCGGCGGATGTCGGGTTGGGTGGGTCCTCAAAACGTACCCGTTTCGCAACCTCTAACGCAATAACTAGAAAAAGAAAACGTTTTTCTTCTTTTTTTTATGTAAAATTGTAGCTGCCCTCAACAACAAAGAAATATCATCCGTAAGGCTAGCCCATTCCTCTCGCAAGGCCCCCGAAAAATAAAGATTAATATGCGATTAACACTCAACGCATAACATCTCGACATCCCACATACACAACTATTCCCCTTCTCTCCTTCACCTTTTTGTTTTTATCGCTGAACGTCAAAAATGGTTTACAGCGTGGCTCAAGAGGTTGCGTGCAACTGGGCCGCACCCCTCTGTGCATCCTCGCAACTCAATCGGTTGACCCCGTTACTCCCGTAGTGGCGGCAGGGGTGTTGGCGGAGGCGTTGGCGGGGGCGTTGGCAAGCGCAAGAGACGGCTCGAATAGCCTTCAGCGTGATGTGTCCTTTCAGTCGTGGAAAAGGAATTACAAGACGGTAGTAGAGGTGGTGGTGGTGGCGGTGGTGGTGGTGGTGGTGGTGGTGGTAGCGGCGTAGTTGAACGACACCCAGAAGCCACGTCAGCTGCAAAAGGTGGTAGTGAAGGGAGTTCGTACCTTTGAAGCTTATGCGTATCCACGTGGTGGTGCCCCCGACGGCTCCGTTGTTTTGTCCCTATCGTTGGTTTGCTCGATGAAGTTGCCTCCATATACTTGGCTAGAAAATTCTTCGCAGCAGCCTCTGTTTGGCGATACTTTTCCTCCTCGCAATTTCGCTCTTCCTCTCGCATCTGGCGATGAGAGGCTGCCACGCGCAGCATGGCATGATGGGTCGCCTCCAGCTCTTCGTGGAACTGCGCCACTCCTTTTGCTGCCTTATGTTGTGCTACCTCTTCATCGCGGTGCCCCTCCATGTTCTTTATTTCTTCCGCCACCGCCTCCGGACTGCGATGCTGACTGTCGTGGCTGGTCGCCAAAGCTCTTTTGGCGGGGCCCTGAGAATTAAGCTCTCGTCCATGCGACAACGCATTCGCAGTCAATGTGTGCTGCACCGCGTCGTGAAACTCCGAAGTGAACCCCTCCTCTGCAGAAAAAGGGCAACTACTACGGTCATAAATCGCCTGTGGCACAGGTCGCGGCAGAACACAACTTACCTCCGCGTAGTGACATTCAGCGTGCTCATCGAAATTTCGAGCTCGTTTTCTAGAAAAGACAGAACGCCATGCCCTCGCGATGTCCTCAATAAACGCTGCGGAGGAAGCATCCGACTTCAGGAAGGATGTCCGGTCAACCATGGCTGCATTGCCAGCACAAATGCCGCCAAATCCATTTGGTTCGCCCCCTCGCAGAAGTTTATCCAATGCCATATGTGCGGAATACTGCACCATCCCCGTCCCTGGCCACGTCTGTGGCGGTTCATGAAAAGGTGGAAGCTCGGCTTCTGTGCCGCCCTGATGACTTGGAAGAAAAGAGGACGCCACTCCGCCCGCCACAACTGCAGGTGCTGCGACACCTGCTCTTTCTGTACTGTGGTCGCACGCCAAATTGGAGTGCTTGTCTCCATCAGGTCTACGGCGTACACACAGCTCCAAATGCAAGCAAGCCCGTTGAAACAACTGCATGGCCTCCTCGTAATCCCTCGGTTTCGTCCTGTTGATTTCCACAATCTCGTCACCCTCCCTGAGCGCAGCGGCCTTATCGGACGTGACCTCACCAACACGCAGCGGGAAGCGGTTACCATAGGTTAAGAAGCCCCACGACGCTATTTTATCGGGGCGAGATATATGCACCCTATGACTTTTCGGTTCTTCAAGCGCCGAGGCGTTCAAATTTCGAGATCGGCCACCACCAGGTGTGAGGGAGAATAATGAGACCTCGAGCGCGGGATCAACGAGGTGTGTGGAGGGGACTCCTCCCGGGTTGTTTTCCGCCTCATCCCCTCCCATTGTGTTGTCTAATTTGTAGATCGGTACGTGGTGCTTGTGAGGATGGTTGGAAGGACACACGTTCTCGCCCATTTCCACCATATAGCGGCTAACTGCGTCCCCTCTCTTCCCGACGAGAGGTACGACTTTCACCGGACGCGAAACTGACTGACCCTTCTACGCCTCCCTCAGATTGTTATAATTATTTCACCTTCCCTTTTATTTTACTTTCAGTTCCCCTGTGACGGAGCTTCGGAAGTGAAAACACGTAGGAGACCAGCAAGAGAGAATGGTTCTGCAACAACAACATGTCGGAAAGTGAGCGAACACAGTGAAGAGTCGCGCGGACGCCAAAGTGGAAACAGCGTGGTCGATGGAATATCCCCATTTCGCATCAGCTCAGTCTGCTCCATACCCTTCTTATTTTTTTTTTCCTTTTCTTTCGCTCTTTCATTGTTTCTCTCTCTGTTCTATTTACTCTCCGTCTGAGAAAACCAGAAGTAGTGAGGGGCAATGAATCCCCCCACCGCGGATGAGGCAGTGGAAACGGTACCGATCTCTCGACAGTCAACTTCAAAAAGAATAACACACACAAAAACAACAACAATAAAATGCATGGCCACACGGTTAATCGTCAGTATTCTCAACCATTCCAGGAAGTCCTTTAAAGAATCATTCTTTTCTTTTTCATTTTTCGACATTTATCTCTGTGACTTCCTCCCTGCGGCTGTCAACGCCGCAGTTGCGACCTTGTTATTCAACAGAGCGACAAGTGCACTGACGTCAAATCCAAGTCGAGTCATCAAAGTAATGTAAATAACAAAATACTGCTCCACCCGCTGCACCATTCCAGAGCGCTGTCGCCGCATCGTTGATACAACGTCATACACCGTGGTGTCGGTCAACGTTCCCCGTTCCAGGTGGGCCAACACACCGTAGGCGCCAATCAGTGTTCCTGTTCGCCCAATACCTGCACTGCAATGAACAATCACAGGGACTGTCGTAGGGGACGCATTTACAATGGCCAGAAGCGCTTCCAAGGCTGCGGCAGATTGTGGTACCCCGTGATCTGGCCATCCGGTGTACTGCACGTGTAACAACTTATGGGGTGGCTCATTGGGCCGCTGAAAAGTCAGGTAACGCCGCGTGAGCTGCAACTCCTGCTCCGCCCCGTACACCTCTCCTGGTTCCCTTGTAATCGTTAATTCAGAAGCGCCTGGAATGATCACGGATGATGCCCCATTTTCCCCCGGCCAGTAGCGATTCGCCTTTGTAATCCCTCCCTCACTCAGTTTTGTGATCATGACAACAAGGTTTATTTTCTTCTCATAGATGATCGATAAAAAATCCGGTATCCCCTTATCCACTGGCGCTTGACAAGCCACAAACTTATGGGGCAGACCAAGGTCAATGAGGTTGCCGTTGATGTAGTATGAAGACGGCGTTTGGGTCGAGTCGATGGACTTCGGGTAAAGAGTAGCCTCATTGGCCAAGATGTCTAAATAACGATTTTTAGACATGTTTTTACGCGAGGTGTCGAAGCTTATACTTCCTGGATCCTCGTGACGCTGCAGGAGTGCAAACTCACGCTGCATCCGTTCATACTGCGCCGTCAAAGAAAGCTTTGTGAAAGGGCGGCAGTCCGCCTCACCTTTTCCTTCCCGGTTTGTTTCTGCGCCCTTCACCATGCTGGGCGTATCAGGCGCGCAAGCAGTTGTGTAGGTGCACGCACACGCACCTGCCGCTGAGAAACCGGTAAAATGTGTATCGGGTTGTGCCAGTGGGTAACCAAAAAGACAGAATGAGGGGCCAAAAAGCAGAAATAACAACAACCACAACGAGAGGGAAAGAAGGTGACAGGAAGCAGCAGAAAAGACCCATCCGCATTCTTCCTCTTAGCTTGTTTGAAGTGGCCTCCCCTCCCCTCACATTCAACGGGCAGAATACGTGCAACGGAAAGTCCATAAGTTGTGCATGTGCATATATACACGGCAGTGGCTGCGCGCACGCAAGAGGCACCGCGAGTGCAATGCTGGTGAGAGGCTCGTACCTTTTTATGCTTTTACTGTTTTTTCCTTTTTTTTTTTTCCTTCCCTCATTATTATTATTGCGCTAACCGCCTTAGAGCCCGACTGCACAGAAATGTCTTATTCTTCGGAAGACACAGCAACTAAACGGGCCAACATCAGGCCTGTCACACCACAGCCACAGGCTCGTCTACTGTTGGCTCAGCGGCGATGCCCAGCCGCAACCTCAGCCCCACGACATCTTCATGGTCCACCAGCAGCTGCAGACGTGTGCGCGCCCGCAGTGCAACGGAGTAAAAAACACCACCCACAGCAGAGGGGCAATCAATCTCCAACAGAACCGTGCCAACCTCCATCGATTCAAGTCTCGTCCGCAAACCAGCATCATCGATGTCCGTGAAAAGCACATCCTTCAACTTTCCACCGGAAAGAAGCTGCTCTACAAAGCTCACGGGAACTCGCAGTAGTCGCGGTGACTGTTGCATCACCTTGGCAAAAAGGGTGGCAGACTCGCTCGCAATGCGCCAGCCCTTGTCAAGATTCTCACGGGCGAACACGCGAAGACCCGCCGACACCACCAGCAGCGAATTGGTATTCATTCGCAGGACATCCAACGCTGAGGAGGAGACGATGGAGCAGGTCGAACCGTCGGAGATCTTCAACTCACGCTGCCCTGTCGCAGTCCGCACGACTAGCTGCTGAAGAGGAAAACCCTTCACCTTATAAAAGTTGCCCACTACATCAGTTATAGGCGATGGCGCCGTCACGTAGGTGGGAGGAACCCGTTTTTTGCGAGTGACACCTTCTGACTCCCCCACCTCCTCTTCCCCGTTTCCTGCCCGCTTCTTTCCAGCAAGTATTCCCTTGCCATCGCTATCGCCACCGGAGCCGCTTTTTCTGCTCTCATGACTCTTCTGGCCGTTCCCCTCTGCTGCCTCGCACTCCTCGCGTTTCGTTAGACGAAACTCCTTCACCTTATCCAAAACCGCAATAAAGAAGGCACCGCCACCGCAGTGGGAGGGATACAATCGCATGCACAGCCTGAGATCCAAGTCATCCACATCATCAGAGGTGTACGCCCCCGGGGTCTTTGGAGGAAAAAGGGCCTCATGCGCTTCTTCCGACGGCCCCTCAACCACCTCGCCATTGCAATTTGTTACAACCCAACGCTGCAGACCTGGGGCACACTGCAGGCCTGGAAGTAGCGAACGCGCGTCAACGAGTTTCATGGCTCCTCGAGTGCGGTGCACAATTTGTGCCACCACTGCCTCATTTTCAATAGGATTCATTGAGCAGGTGCTGTACACAACACGGCCACCTACGCGACCCAGATGACAGGCGCGCAAGGCAATTTGAATTTGCATCTTTTGAAGGGTGATGGCTTCCCTTGGAGACCAAATCTTAAAGACATAAGGCGCTTTTCGAAGTGTGCCATCGCCTGAGCAAACCACGTCGCAAAGTATCTTATCGAAGCGCAGCTCCCCATTTTCGTTTCCCACCGACGGCGTCGAAGAATTCACGTTGGGGAAATACCGTGCATCATGATTAGTAAACAGGGCAAAGGGAAAAAGCAAGCGCAGCCGCTTCACTTGATGCACCAACATGTTAGCCCGCTTTGTGTCGAGGTCATTGGCCACCACAAGGCCTTCGCTCTCATAGTCAAAAGGAAACGGCGAAGCATTCGAATCTGCCGGTACCACCTTGTGCCTTCCCAACGCAACAAGCATTTGCGCCGTCTTGGACCCCGGCGAGGCGCACATGTCAAGACACTTGTCGGTTGGCTGAATGTCCAGAAGAAAGGGCGGCAACATTGAAACCTCCTCCTGCCGCGAAATGGTTCCTAAGGCTGTTTGTTGAATCATAAACCGCCGCAGCGCTTGCATCTCCGGCCGCTTACGAAACTCCGTCTTGCCCGCCAGAACCCGCCAAGCCATGCCGGGAAGCGGATACCACGAAATGGGCTCAACAAGCGAGCGATGAAGCGACTCAAAGTAGCGCCGCACCTCGCCGGCAAGTGGGTCTGTGTCGTTTATCCAAACCGTTGTCGGGAGGGGCTGCCGGAAGAGAGACAACTCGGCATCCCACTCCGCCGGGGTAAGGATGCTTTGCAGGTCACGGTAGTACCGATCCAACGCGGGGCAAGGTATCTGCCGCAGTGTATCCTGGTGGGTCATTCCTAACCAATTCCCGTTTTCATCGCACGCAGCTTTCGTTCTTACCTCACGCCGATTTTTCCCGAAGGACTTAAGCTTCTTCTTCTGCTGCGGCTGCTGTTGGTGTCCTTCAGTCATATTGGTCCCAGGAGTGAGTGTAACGAACAAACAGGGCAACAATCTGACGGGCAAAAACACGCGATCACACGTGTAATAAATCGTGTGTGTGTGTACACTCCAGCAAACGAATCTCCAAGCCACAACTGAGAGGATAATGCCGGGCGGTAACTATGGTAGTAAAACCAAGCACATAAAGAGAAAAAAAGATCATACACACAGAGAATAAGTAGCGCATCAAACAAAGAAAAAAAAAGTGAACACCAAGCTAGCAAATAAAAAGTAACACAAGAACGGCAAAGTAAATAATAAGAAATCTACACCACCAGAACCGCAACTGCAGAGCGAAGGCGTCGACGAACTCCCATATTTCCTGCATCCATCTCCACCCGGCCTTCCAACAAGGAAGAAGAAGAGGAAGAGAAAGCGCAGTGAGTAAAGAAGAGGAGTCTGCTCTATCAATCATTGTGAGAGAATACATACATTCATAATAGGTACATCATCATCGACAGAATCATTACAGGAACGGTGGTAAGTCCTTCTATTCATCATGTCCCGCCTCCAGGCACACGAACAGACAGAAGGACTACATACTCACACCTTCAGCCCCATTTCCTTCTCTGCTCCCTTTACGCACCTACTGTACGCTCCTGCTACTGCCCATCAGTCAGCACCACTGGACGCTCCGGCGGCCCGGAACGAAACACAAGGAAGTGCATCTCATCGATCTTGACATTCACCAACGTCTCAGCATCATTTGTCACATTTGCCCCAAAGTGGGTCCCTACAATGACATGCCAGGTTCCCTTCTCAACCTCTTCCAGCTTCTTTTTCAACCCAATGGCTATATCCTTGTAGCAGGCGTCTGGAGGCATATTATCAAGCACCACCTGTGCCAGCTCTATCACAGAATTCAAAAACGTCTTAGTTCCATCATACCGTTGAACCTTTATCACCCTCACCGGACGCTCCTTCACTTCATCCTCCACGACGTGATCAGGTTCCGCGTCGTTCATTGATCAACACCCACAAAAACGAAAACAATATTTGCTACTCCTACCACTGTATAACTTAGAAAAACAAAAACAAAAAGAACCAAGATTTCTACAAAACAAAAAAAGAGGATAAAAACACAGACACGCACACACGGACCAAAGAAGATTATTCTCAAGCCAACACAAAAAGCATAGCACATTATGAAACCTTGTGCAAGAACAATTAGAGGAAGATCTCCGCTGTGCATGAATCGCCCCGAGCACCACGTGGCCAGGCGAGGCGGGATTAATACAGCGTCGCCAAAGAAATGGCAGTTCCCCTCATTGCAGATCTTGGTTTTGTGGTCAATTGGCTTCTCGTCACAGAACACCTCCCGCCAGGGTGAGGATGGAATTGCTCTTGTAATCATCGCGGGCAAGTGCAAGCCGGCTGGTGCGGATAGCAACGGCGGAAAAGGAAACAAAGGGGAAGAAGGAGGAGGCAGAGGCAGCCCCAAGAGTAAAGATCAGAGAGTGAATGAAAAAAACGGGGTTCTCAAGCAGGTGAAGTTCTCAGTGTCAGCGATCCATTTGTGTCTCATCGCTTCTTGTCGAAAGCAGGCAGTTGCCAAAGTCCCTCAGTAGACGCCTGTGTCAAATG